CCCATACAGTCATACCCCTTACAAGCAAAGCCAAGTCACTTGGTCACCCTAAACACTGCTTTTACAGTCATGCCACTTCCATTTTAGAGCCATTTCCTCCCCAGTGTTTTTAGGCTGATTTTTTGTTTAAAGGAAATATAGATGTCATATATATTTGTGACTATTAGAACAACATATCAAGGAAATACACAGACTATGTAATCTCCTGTGATGAAACGCAAATACAAGGATGCTAATTACCAGTAGTTTCTGGTGCACGATACCACGTTTTCCCTCAGTTGCACAATTCCTTGTACACCAATTGTTGGCAAGTGTCTTGGTCAATAGGGTTCAGAGCCAACAGAGATGCAACATAAAGATACAAGCCCAAATGCTCTTAGACCATGAATCCAGTCCCTTAAACCCTCAAATTCACACGGTTTAATCAGAAGATTTTCCAAATGTTACAAATATGGGGGTTTTTATTGCCTCCAGGTTTTTTAGCTTTGGGGACACACATGCTACATATTTTTAGGCTTTTGCTTGCTCGATAAATAAACAGGAGTAGCTAGGAAAGTTTTTGAAGCCTCAGAAAATGCAGGGCTTCCACTGGATGGTCCAGCTTCTATCCCAGAAGACCTCAGGGGACCTGTGGGCTTGGGAACAGGCTGTGTAACCCACCAGGCATGGGGCAAACATCTGAGAAGGACCAGGGAGATACTCCTTGGCATGTGCATACATGCGTGTAACCCTTGCCTGTTCTTTGCTTTTCCCTCTTAAGCATTTTATTTACTACCACTAGATGGCAATTATCTACAGACCACCATGTATGTCTTTTAACTTGAAAAGATCTCTTTGGAGGCCCTTTCCCATGGGGTCAAAACAAAGCAATCCAAGGCCATAGGCACACTTTAGCCAGCCCCCGTTCTCGAGTCACTGAAGGAGGGCAAGGGCATGGGGCAGAGTTGGCAGCTAGAGCTAGGGGTGCTGCCCAACCAGGGTGGTGCATGAAGCCTGGGGCTGGGGTGTCCTGCCTTTCCATTTTGAAAACCTACTTGCATGGGGCCTCCTCATAACTCAGGAAGGGTCCCCTCTCCCCCCAGCAGAAGTCCTTACCCAGCAGCCTGGGGGGTGGTTTCCTGCAGAAATCTTCTCATGTTGCTCCCTCCTGCCACATGCAGAATCCCCTGCTAAGAGGTGCTATCAGGGCTTTCCAGCATATCAGGCCTTGAAAAATGAATGAGATTGTTGTTTTAACAAGCTATTACTTCAGGTGGTAGGGGAGCACTAAAGATAGAGCTTCCAGGGCACAGAGATTTAAGCCCTACTCCTGGAACAAGATCTAGAGGTGTGGACTCCTGCATCCTCAGAGTCCTAGTGAAACCAGTACACCTCAGCACAGGTGCACATGGATAGCTGCTCTGGCTGCATTTGCCTACTCAGCAGGTGTAGGAAATCCACTTGAATTGAAAAAGCAGGTCCAGAATGACCAGCACCCAGATTCTATCTGCCAGGTGCTCTGCTTCCTTCCCCCTTGTCCTGTATCCTTTTTCAACCTTCCCACATCCTCTTCCCTGCCAGATCTGTTTGTTTCTCAAAACAGAATACAACAAAGTGAGTGCTAGAGTGGCAAAGCCACCTCCTCTGGCCACTTCCTTGGCCCCGTGGGTCCTATCCTGTTCTCTCTCTCTCATCTGCCATACCTTGATGTTAAAAGTTGACAGGGAGGCTACCCTTAAGAGGCAAAGAGGGTTTTGAGGGGTAGGCCCTTGCCTGACATGAGGTCCCCCTGTCCCACATTACCATAGTTGAGCCATGGTAAATCTCAGAATCTCTTGGAGTTGATCCAAGGCTGGGGTGGGGGACTGAGTGCCCACATGCATGCTCATGTACATCCACACCCCAGCCCAGCAGGTCAGTCCTTGCGGGGGGAGGGAAGGGGTGGGGGCTAGATCAAGGCCCCCACAGTGAGGGACAGTGCTGCAGAGCCAAGAGCAGGGATAAATTGAGTGAGGCCCCAGCCAGGTGGGACTTACCTGCTGGGGAGGCACACCCCCAAATAATTTTTTCTCCCTCTACCTAAATCTGTCCATCCCCCCCCCCCCCGTACCTGCAGGGTGGGAGGAAGGGTGGCAGCAGTACACAGTAGATCTTGGGTTGCTTTTAAATGCCAAAAGGTGATCTACTTAAAAAGGTTAGAGAGCAGTCTCTACAGCCACAATCTAGTCTTTTGATTAAAGACAAAACCAAAATGAGAAGCATCTTATCCAAACCCAAAGGATTCCCTCCAAGAATTAATCATGCCCTGCCAAAGCCATTGCTCAAAAGGCCAAAGGTACTTACCTGTGCTTGATTCAGGATGCAGGGTTTCTTCCACCTTTACTGCAGCTCCAAGTCCTGCCTCTAGATCATGCAGCCACACTCCTTCCTGAAGCTCTGCCCCCTATAGCCACACTAGCCCCCTAGCTTGGGCCTGTGCTAAGTCCATTCCTGGGTCACCTGACCATCCACTTCTGCCCCAGGCCTGTCGGTCACTGTTTGCACCTGTGTTAAGTGATCATTTTGTTTGAGCTCCCTGCCTGTGTTAGCTTGCCCCAGGGTTTGAGGAGCATGGGTCACCCCTGGGCTCCCTCCCTCTTCTAGTAGTGGGGTAGGGCCTCATTACACAGCTGAGCAGGAACCACTGAAACTGATGATAAACAGTGTGATCTAAAAGGAAGTGGAACTACTGAGACATATGCAAACAGAAAAGAAATCATGCAGAAAAACCAAGAAATGCACATGACAAACCAGCCTAGCCATCTGTATGCTCTAGTCCTACTCCTGTCTCTATCTAAACTAGAGTTGGGCAACATAATGCAAACCTGTCCTCATGGTGAATGGGTCTACTAAGAAGGGTAGGTTCATTGCAGTGCTATCAGCTGGCTTGTATCAGACAAAAAAAAGCTGATGAAAGTCTTTCTACTATATTAGTGACCCTACCTAAAAGCTCGTCAACTGTCTATGCCAGCTGTATAGTTGGCCCAATAAGAGATACCACCTAGCAAATCCTATTCTTCCCAAATTCTCTGGACAATCATGGCTTCAACAGCACTTCCCATGCTTTTGCGAGAACCCTTGTGCAATGGGAAGGAAGGATTTTCATTACTTATGTGACACTGTATTTGACCAATATTTGCACCAGAAACATTGGTGTAGTTATCTTCTGATCTCTGAGTCCAGTTAGAGAGCAGAAAAGGTGCTGTATTTGAAGAGAAGGCACGTGTAGTATGAGTTATGTTTGCAGAAACCATTTGTTCAGTCACTTTAGCCAACAAATGTTTCAACCTTGAAGTGGTTCTGTGAATAATGCAGGAAGACTTTCTTCAGACAGCTTGCCCAGGTCTGAACTAGGCCTAAGCTCTACACTTCTTACAGGACAGACTAACACTCCCTCATTTAAAGAAACTGAAGTGTGTTGCCTACATCCAGCTCCAGTGCTGAGTTACAGCACATCCCAAAGTGCCTGTGCGTCAGTGCAAGTGTCCCAGGCTTCACAGATGCCTACCCTTTACTCTGGGCTTGATGGTTAGATGGTCCCCAGCTGCTAGCTATGTTCCAATTGTGCAAATACTATGCTTATGCATATGTTTGGCTTTAACCAAGCGTGGATACCTGTAGCAGGGCCACACATACACATCCCCATGTAGGGAATGTGCCTCACAAAGTTGCTGAAAGGGGACCTGCGGTGCTGTCAGAGGGAACGGATGCCATTTAGATGCCAAAAGCTCCCAGCAGCAGAACGGTCCTACAGAAACCATCCTGGAAGACCTGCCAACATAAGGAGGTAACGCTCCTTGAGAGGGCTGTTACCTTGGTGAGACCTCGGGAAAGAAACCAGACCTGGGGCAAAGGCTGCAGATGAATAAAAGAGGGCAGCGCGTGAGGGTGTGGAGTTGTGAAAAGGAGCATCTACGAGGCAGAGATGGCTGCAAAGAGCCTCTGCTGGGGATCATGAGGGTCTGTGGGAAAAGGAAAAGAAGGGAAATCAGCAAGCAGGGCTTTGAGGGATGGGATGAGCCTTGGGGGGCACAGCAGGGATGAGACGGTTTGGGGGCTGGGCTAGCTCAACCCAAAAGCGGCTCACAATAGACGATAGAGTTGGGAACATGCTTTTACAACTGGACCAACACGCTTGAAAAATGGGCTATCCTTTTAAAGAAGCAAAACTTGAGAAACCCGCGACTTTTCCCGTGCAGGCTCGCAGAGCTCCTTGGGGGCTGGCACCGATGGTTACAAACGGCGGAAGAAGCACGAGCCTAGGCGGCCTCCGCAAACCCCCTCCGCCCTCTCAACTCCCCAGGAACCTGCCGGGCCCGTGGTAGCAAGGACGGCGGGCGGGAGAGGGCGCTAGCTTCCGGGGCTGCGGCTACAAGCTCCGCCCGGCGCCTGCGCGGTGCAGCTACCCGGTTTCGACCCGCCCGCGCTTTTGCTCGGCCTGCAGCGGCTGGGACTGGAGCTTGGCGGGGCGGGCCGCGCGATGCCGGGGCGGCAGGTGAGTGCAGCAGGGGGCCGGGCCTCAGCTGTGCTGAGCTGGGGCCGGGATCCTGGCACTGGTGCGCGGAGCGGCAGCAGTCAGGCGCGGTAGAGCGGGGCTCTTGGCATCTTAAGAGCTATCCTGGCATTTTCCTGGCAAGGGGATGATGTTCCTGCCCAAGCCCTTCTGCTTGAGGGGTAGCGCGGCCCGAGAGCCGCTGCCCTGGTGCGAGCCCACGCACGCAGGCCGTGTCCGCTTGAAGGCTCAGATCAAGCATAACGGTGTCTTAGCCGGGCAGGGGAAATACCGTGCGTTTGGGACCAAGAAGGCAGTTTTCCTGAACCACTCAGCAGGAGATCTGCTCTTCTGCCGTGGTTCAGCACCCGCCGAGGTGTAGCGGCTTTAAGCCCAGTTTATGGAAATGGGAGTCTCCTCCCCTGCTTGCTCCAAGGGCCTTATGGCTGAGGGCAAGCGAAACTCGGGGGCATCCGAACCGCAAGCCTCCGTGTTTGGCCTGCAAGTAGGCTGCCTGCCAAAGGTTTTGGGAACATCTAAAGTGCTAGGTGTAGATGGAGGATGTTCGCCGGTAGTAGGGCCGCTTATGGTTCTGGACTCGTGGATTTGGAAGTAGTTTTGTCTAATTTGGCCTCAGATACAAATTATACTTAAAAAAAAAAATCCTGCACAGCTGTCTAACCCATGCTGAAACACTGCCTGTCAGGGAGTTTCCTCAGCCTGCCCCCAGCCCTGCTCCAGTGGTTCATCATCATCCAAGTTCATAAGGGTTGTGTGATGCCCAGCCTAAATCTTCTTACCTGGATGCAGAGCCAGTTCCTTTTTGTCCTCCCTCTACCCTTGGACCTATAGAATAGCTGATCGTTACTCTCCTGGGGCCCGGCGATAGAAGAATAAGAGACATAAAGCCTAATCCAGAAATGAAACTTTTCAAAAAAGGGAACTGGTGATGTTGGGCCAGTTAGTTTGATCTCTGTGCTTTGCAAGGTCTTTGATGTTAACGGAAAGAATAAGCAAAGATGCAGAGTTAAATAGAAATTTTGAATAAAGGCAACATGGCTTTAACTGATGTAGATCATATCAGGCCAACCTAATATCTTTGTGACAGGGAGTGCATCTACATGGGATGTTTACTGCGGAGCTAACTAATGAGCTCCGCAGTAAAGCATCACTGTCTACATGTGCAGCACCATCTACACATATAGCTGCAGTAAACTAATTAACTCAGCCGTAGAATAGTACTACCCGACACAAGTACCATGGTACAGCAGAGTTATTTAGTGCGCTGCAACGTGCGTAGATGATGGCTGGGGCTGACTGGGGCACAAGGGTGCTACAGTACAGGGGCTGCCTGCCAGCCTGCCCTGTGCTGTAGCACCCTAATGCCCCAGCCAGCCCCTCTGCAGCA